GCGGGATGGGCACGATGTCGGAGAACAGCTGCTTGTTCGCCAGAAGCACCCTCCGGGCCTTCATGATGTAGTTGTTGTTGGCGTGCTGCAGCTTCTGGGGGATGCTTATGAAGCAGTCGGCGTCGCTGCACTTGACGCCGAGGCCCGTGGTTATGGAGCCGAAGGGGATCGCTTTGCAGCCTGTAAACATACATTCAAAGTTAAAAGTCTGATTTCTATCTTAGCAGCCACTTTGTGTCTCAGCAATTGTAGTATATGTACCGGGCCAGGCGACCTGTAGAACCCGTTCCAGGTCTGAGTAGAGCTCAGATATTTGCTTAACCTCTTCTTGTGTGAGCCGAATAGCCATCATAATGTTTTCCAATTGTTCATCAAATTCCCCTGACAATAATATTTCGTGTGGACTCAATATTTTCCCTGAAAAAAATGACATTTTTAAATTATTTTTAAAAATGACAACACTTTTCAAACTATAAAATTAACGAAAACACTTATAACATAATTATAATATTCTTACTTCCTTTATCAATTTGCGGTTTTTCTTTTTTTTGTGTATTGGCAATTGGTTTGGTGTAGTAAGGTCTCACATAAATCAATTCTCCATACACAGCCACTTTCTTGGAATGTTTGATGGCAGCTTTAGCCCCTTCAACTTTATTAAATTCTAGTGTGGCGTAGCGTTTGGTTATTTTATCGACTTTTACTTCACCATATTCTGAAAATACCCTCTCCAAGTCCTGTGGCTGAGTGTACATAGGAAATCCTGAAAAAATATTACGTTTTTTTTTTATTTTCACAATACAACAATTGCTGTTTATTAAAGGCTATATTTAAAAATACCTGTAACATGAACTTTGTTGGGCACAATAGATGATTCTGCATTTTGGTTGTCTTCCATTGTTACATCAATTGCATGCCTATAAAAAACAAAATTATAAAACTTTCAGTCATTATGTTGGGCTTTTTAATGTTATAATACTATAATAAAATCAGATATCATAAAAATTAAAAATAATATTTGTAAGTTGCCTATATATTCTACCTGGCTATATTTTACATCTGTACAAAATTTCTTTTAGAACCATTAAATCGTTTTGGATGGTAAGAAACATCAATTCATTAAACATTCGCATTTATAATGGTATGGAAAACATGTTCTTTATTTTAATAATTTTATTTCATTACCTGTTTTAACATCAGTAACATTAATAAAATATTCGGGAGTCAGATAACCAGCTTCATTGCCTGTCGTCAGAATAACCCCATTCACTGATTCATAAAACTTAATTCCATCAGCCAGAGCCTTTACTAAGTTAATAAATATGTATATTTGTGCGTTGTTTCTTATACCACTGATCACATTTGTGTCTAATGTGCCTTTTGACAAATGAATATGACGTCTTCTCATACGACTGAGACCTTCCAACTTTATCTTTGGCCAACAATTGTAATAGGTTCCATGGACTATGGTTTGATATTTAGCCTGAAAGAAAATAAAAGTAACATCATGGTGCCCATGTTGGCCAATGGCTTAATTTATTAATATATCTCTTAATACATTATCACCATATATCTTTATCTGCTTATTTACTATGTAACATTTTTTAATTATTATAATTTTAATTGTATCCATGGAAAAGTTTTCTGTTTACTTATAATAACAAAGATCTGGCCATCATAGGGTCTTACTTTATTACAAGAGTTCAATAGACTTGAGTTTTTAAATGAAGAAAAAGCAATAACATTGCAATTATTAGTGCAATAATTCAACTATGGTAGATGCCAGCAAAATCAACTATTGAATGGGACAGCTTGCCCTGTGCAACAAACATCAGTTGGAAGCAATTCCACATACAGGAGATGAGTGTGCATGCTGGAGACATAATTTATGTGGATAGCCAGTGCTTGCTTCATTTTTCAGCTAACAAGGTAGCCGCTTCATTTGCCACTTTATGATATAAAAAATTTCAAAAGGCAACAATTTCTTAACACTTACTTCTAAAATAGGTATAAGGTCGGAATCATCAATTTCTATAGAATGCCCTTGATTTGCCTTGATTTCTAGAATATTAGTGAGAGAATTCCATCTCAATTTAAACCTCTGTTTGTCATTATTGTTGACTACTCTCTCAACATCACTCTTATCATACTGTCCCTTAAAATTTTTATGTTGTAGTACTATATCCACAGCTAAGTATCCATCAGTGCTAAAACAATATTTGATGTTCAATACATTTAAGTAAACAATTTCACATCGAAGCCTAACTTTAAGAATAATTATCCTCATTATAAAACCCACCTTAACGGAAGTCCTTCCTTATAAGCGCCGTGCCGCAATAACCAACTTAAACGCTTGCTCAGCTGTATATCTTTCTTATTCCTGTAAATACGCCGTCTATGAAAACGTGTTTACAGAAATTGTGGAGTATGCAATATGCATAAGTGTCCGTACATTTGTGATAGCTTATAATAAACAGTTGAGTATAATTAGCTGATCAAACAATATTTATATACTATAAATAAATTATGAAATACGAATAGAGCATCGGAGCGTGGTATTAAATATAACAGAAATTCCCTAGTCCAAAATAATAAAACAAAGAAACAAACCTTACAAAAACACTTTTATGACAGATAAACAGATATTATAATTTAAGACAAAGAGTATACAGAGATTAGCTAGCTAGGTAAGAATCATAGACAAACATTTTAAAATAGTAAATCATCTAATGGTGACTTGAATCCATTGATAGAGTTTTACGCTTTATCATTTTCATAAACTTTATAATTTTACAAACCCATAGAGAGCTTTCGTTGCATTACTATTTGTGCTCTTGATACTAATTTTTTACTGTAATACAGCGATGTACTTCAAATCAAGTATGCTTCTTGAGATAAAACCATTTGTTTTAATCAAATTCGCTTATATTTTATCTACAGTTTAACAAAATCAATAGAATCTCATTTGTATTGATTAAATCTCACCATAAATAAGAAATCATAGACAAAAAGTCAGCTGACTTAACTTTTATCATTGGTCTTGTGATAAGTTGAGAACTCCGCCATTCTCGGATCATCTTTTCAATCTTTACCGTCCCGTGAGTCCAAAATTTCTATTTTATTTTGTAATTTAACTCGTATACTTGTATATTATTTGTGATTGTGGTACTAGATGTAAGTAATTATGTTTCCTGCTTAATAGGGTTGTAGATTTTCGGTATTCCGCCATTGGAAAATCTTATTGGGTTTTTGTAATGTCACAATTTTCCATGTTTTTAGTCTCATGTTTTTAATGTTTTTCTCTATTCATATATATCACTTTTATTCTAGTCTTCTACTACGTTGGTACTAAATCAGTACAAATATGTATGTATACATTAAATCATTAATTGGGGTACACCCCTGGTCATGTGATAGATTTTTTGATAAAGTCCTGAAATCTAAATACTCTGGAAATGGTCCCCTATTTTATGTAATAAGTTATTGTGTATGTTATTCTGTTTTGTCATGTAAGTGTACATTGAAATTAGTCTTATTGGATTCTAGATATGAGGGTCATTTTTAGTTACTTTTTCAAATTATTTCATAACGAAAGTTGAATCGTTTTAAAGATAACTATCCATCTAAACTTTCGCATTTATAATGTTAGTAAAAAGTAAGAGTAGTTGGCATATTCTTAGTTTTTCTATCCATCTCACATGATAGCCAGTTACATTATTTTTTTATTCTCAAACTGTATGTTTTTCAATGCTTCCCATGATCACTTTAATACCAAAATATTTGCACAATAAGACATTTTAATTTTTAACAGACATTGCTACATATAATGACCATTTTAAAACAAAGAGTAACTTAAATTATGTAACATTCTCTGGGATCCTTTCAGTCCTGGAAATATTTCGATGTTACATAATTTCGTTTTCGTGTCTTATTATTTTTTCCAAGTTGACTAATGTAATCACAGTTCAAATAAATATAACTCTACTAGCTTTTGCCATAAACTCAAACTGCAAGGAATTAAAAAAGTAGTTCTTCCAGACTATCTTTTACATTTGTGCCTAATTTTATTATGATTTGTTAACTCATCCTGGAGATATCTTCTAACAAATATCCATCCATTTACAAATGTATTATGCTTGTTAGAAGTAAGTTATGAAACTTCAGTAATTTTAGAAAAAAATCCCATATTGATGTGACATTGATGGATTGCAGTTATCAAGTTAGATAGGAGCTAGGTCAGCTGATACAACTGTCAGTTTGTCTAGATTTGGAGCTAGTTATTTCTATAAGACCAGGGTGTTTCCTTAATTGTTACAAGTAATTTTTTGTGATAATTGAAGTTAGCTGACTTATTATTTGAAATACTTATAGAATAAAACAGTAATCTGTATTAGTATGTAGTTTTCTCTTTTTCACTACATTGATCTTGTTCTTAGCACTTTAGATTTTATTTGGCAACCATGTTTATCTTATCTTTTTAAATGTGATTTCAAATCTTTCTTCAGTTTTAAAAATTGGCAAAGAATATGTTAAAAAGACCAAATTACTGATTTAAATTAAGTTAACCTATATGATAATAAATTTTATTCAAACACAAGTAGTATAATTGAATTTTATGTAATGTTTTTGTAACTTATCCTTAATTCTGTGTCAAAGATTTATTTAATATTATTTTGTTGACAGTTAAAGAACTAGTAATTCAAAATGGCGACAAAGGGCGGTTTGAAGAAGATCGCCGATGAGGACAATGAGGAGAGATTCGGTTATGTGTTTGCCGTGTCCGGTCCCGGTAAGTAATTGATAGTTAAAATACAGTCATATTCTTATATTTAAAGGTGGCAAATCACCTAGCATGTTAAATGAAATGACCTTACGTGACCCTTAGTCATCCGTTTGCATTGCTCGCCTGTGACACACAGAAGGCATGGACATGGATGGACGGAAAGGATAGAGACTCTTAAATTATGTCTCATACCTCACTAAATTCTCTTTCCATTCCTTATAAGCAAAGTAAGAAAAACATGGAAAAGAGAGGACTCTCCTGTTATTACACATAGTCATATTGCAGTGACAATGTAAGTAAATTAACATTTTAACTTGTATCTGTGCAGTCGTAACGGCGGAGAAGATGTCCGGATCCGCTATGTACGAGCTGGTACGTGTGGGCTACAATGAACTGGTGGGCGAGATCATTCGTCTTGAAGGCGATTTAGCCACCATTCAGGTAAAAATTTAATACTTATAATTTACTAGCTTTCGTCCGCAACTCCGTCCTCGTGGAATTAAAGAAAAACAAAAGGGAGTAGTCTATGTGTTCTTCCAGACTATCTTCTATGTCTATGCCAAATTTCATCAAGATTTGTTCAGCCGTTTAGTTTACAAATTCATAACAAACATCTATCTAAACTTACGCATTTCTATTATCAGTGAGATTAGTAAGATAGTAAACATCAGTAGAGAATTTTAATATAAACTTGATCTATTTAGGTATACGAGGAAACATCAGGTGTAACAGTCGGTGATCCCGTGCTGAGAACTGGCAAGCCCTTGTCCGTGGAACTCGGACCAGGTATCCTGGGCTCCATCTTTGACGGTATCCAGCGACCCCTGAAGGACATCAACGAGCTGACACAGTCCATCTACATCCCCAAGGGTATCAACGTGCCCAGCTTGGCAAGAGAAGTCGACTGGGAGTTCAACCCTCTCGGTGTTAAGGTATGAAGAATTTTAATATAGATTTATTGTAATTGTAGTAAATGTAGGACTGGAATGATTGTTTTGTCCATGCCAGGTTGGAGCTCACATCACCGGCGGAGATCTGTACGGTATTGTGCATGAGAACACATTGGTGAAGCACAAGATGCTGGTGCCGCCCAAGGCTAAGGGTACAGTCACATACATTGCGCCAGCCGGCAACTACAAAGTCACTGTGAGTATATTAAATACATCACACTATTTTCAGACAATATAATTGTAACGCGTAATAAACTGAGTATAATTTCCCGCTAAAATGGCGCGATATTCTAAATTGAATGACATTGACAGCTGTCATAGGGATGGGACTATGTCGATGATTTAGGGTTGCGCCGATTTTCTTAACTAAGGTAGTCTTGTTTATGATTTTTTCGCAAACCAGCAATCTTAATTTGCTGAAATAGTCAAGCATTCACTGTCCATAGTCATTATTGTAGTAACGTTAATCTACGGTGCGACGCTTGTAAAGGATATGTTCTCTTATGCAGCTCCATTTATTAGTTTACTTCTCCTTTCTATTGTATTCTTATAATAAAAGGGGGGAGAGGTCTGACTCAAATTAGGCCTCCAGCACAAACACATATTAGCTGGAGTGCAGAATTTTGTCATTTGATTCAAATAGTGGTTTAGATAAATAGTAAGAATAAAGGTTCATGAACAAGCCACTGACAAAGTAGCCGTTTAACTGTGAAAGAAGGTACATGGAAGCGGGCAGTGTAGAGAGTGGTTGTGTGCAGGACGTGGTGCTGGAGACGGAGTTCGACGGCGAGAAGGCGAAGTACAGCATGCTGCAGGTGTGGCCGGTGCGCCAGCCGCGCCCC